CTGGGAGTTAATGTAAATTGTTCTGCTGGGTTTTGGACTTGTTTGGTGCACGTTATCCTTTCTTTTCCTCCAATTTCTCGCATATGTAATGGGAATGTCTACCCAGTGCCTGTTCCACCATTGTAATTTGGAAACAGAAAATTTGTAAATTTTCTAGATTTCTCAGGTTCACAGAAGAAAAGAAATTTTGCCGCAAGATGGGATACTCCTAAAGTCTCACCCATATTTGATTTAAATATTTCAGAAGATGAGAATTTGGATTTGGAGTTTCTTTAAGACTTTTGGGATGATGTGATGGGGTGAATGTGTTTTATATGTGGCAAGGACATGAATTTTGGGAGGTCAAACACTGGAATGTTATGGATTGAATTGTGTCCCCCAAAAATATGTGTTGTAAATCCTAACCTCTATGACTGAGGTTATAATCCCATTTGTGAATGGGTTATCTTTGTTATGGTAATGAGGCAGGTTGAGTGTGGGCTGTATCTTGATTCAATCTCTTCTGAGATATAAAAGAGATTAAATAAGTAAGCAAGAGAAGCAGAGATGGGGAAAGAGAGATGCCAAGGCACATGAAGACCGCCCAGGAGTAGAAGATAAAAGAGGCCAGGAACTCCCCTCCAGAGTCAACAGAGAGAGGAAGCCTTACCCTAGAGCTGGCACCCTGAATTTGAACTTCTAGCCTCTTAAATGGTGAGAAAACAAATTTCTGTTTGTTAAAGCCATCCACTTGTGGTATTCTGTTGTAGCAACACTAGATAATTAAGAAAATAGTAATATCGAAGTTTTTCCAATGAAGACTTGAAGGACGTGAGAACAGATTCAATTCACAGAGTGAAGAAGTCAGTGACCTTGGATGAATTCACTACACTTTTTCATCTTTTCTTCACCAAATCCTATTTTCATGAGCCACATGAAACCTACTTCATCCAATAAGAGGCTAAACAAGTCAGAGACTTTTTTCTGGCCATTTTACCTTTTATGTACAGAATGGTGAACAGGATTAAAAAATTAGATCAGTTACATAAGAGTCAGCAAGATGATTACCACCGACTTTAATGAGGATCATTTGCTTTAACCACAGTGTCTTACAGAGCATCTTTAATTAATGCCACATGGTTTCTATGTTTTGGGGATTGAATCTCCTCACAGAAGTACACTTATGTCAATTCAAGAAAATCCCTTTAGGATTAGACGGAAAATAAATTTGTACTGTAATTATAGTCACTGACCTATTAGTAGTCTCCAAGATTTTCATTCTTTTAATCCCAAATGTTTTAGAGACCAAGATTTATATTCAGAAATTCTGTTTGTCCAAACACCATAAGGCAAGTTACAAGCCCTTCGCAGAGAAATCCAGGTAAGAAAATAGTCTACTTTATTTTACTTTTAATATTAACATCTATAGATATTTATTTTTCAAAATTTATTATCTTCATTGTTCTTAGATTTCACTTAGTTATCTTTCTAGCGTTTCTCTAAATTGAAGACTGTGAGGAGCTAGGATGAGACACAATACTGAAATTCATTCTGACTTTTTCTGATTATAAGGTACAATTTCAAAACGTACAGGAAAGTTCACAAAGTAATTCTATTAAATAATTCAAGTTTGTTGTTATTGTTAGGTGCCATTGAGTCAGTTCCAAGTCATAGCAACCTTATGCACAACAGATCAAAACACTGCCCAGTGCCATCCTCACAATCGTGGCTATATTTGAGCCCATTGTTATGCAGCTATGTAAATTTAAAGTTATTTCTAATTTACTTGAATAATTAGATAGTTTACATTTAGAACCTTTAAATAAATTAACAAATAAAATGTTTACCATGTTCCTTCCTTTTGATGTTTATGGAAAAATTAATTTTAATATTATGGGAAAAGAAATCCATTTTGACCATAGAATTTATATGATTAGCATCTTCAGTTGAAATATTCTACTGCTATCGCTAGATAATGATGTAACCTTGTAAAGCAAAATAAAATTTGTTCTCAAAAATCCTAAGACTATTTAAAGGGTTTTAGAAAACTAAAATATAAAGGTAAGCTTACTTTAATTTATTAATTTATAAGCTATTGTGATATATTTCAGAATATTTTGTAATTTTCCAAGGAAACAGAAATACAGTAGATAAGATTGCACAATATGATTGATGTAATTAGTGTCATAAAATTGTACACTTGAAAAATCTTGAATTGACAAGTGTGTTACATGTGGAGCCCTGGTGCCACAGTGGATAAGAGCTCAGCTGCTATCCAAAAAAGATCGGCAGTTCAAATCTACCAGCTGCTACTTGGAGACCCTATGCGGTGGTCCTACTCTGTCCTATAGGATTGCTATGAGTGGGAATCTACTCAATGACGAGTTTGTTTTCTTTTTTTTTGGTTTAGTGTTACGTATATGTTTACAACAATTTTTTTTATTTTATTTTATTTTTATTGTACTTCAGGTGAAGGCTTACAGAACAAATAGTTTCTCATGAAACAGAAGTACATATGTTGTTTTATGACATTGATTAACAACCCCACAACATATCAACTCGCTAACTTCTCAACCTCTTTTTTTTTTTGGTGAAAATACACATAGCCAAAGATACACCATTTCAAAAATTTCTACATGCACAGTTCAGTGACATTGACTAC